TTTGGTGATATTTCCAGCCCTTTTCAGACAACTTTTTCTGTAGATGTCGTTGAGTGCAGGGGGTGGTGCCCTGGAAATGCACTGGGCAGTTTTCACTAACCTCTGCAAGGCCTTCTGGTCTGAGGGAGAGCAGTTCCTATACCAAACTGTGATACAGTTGGTGAGGATGCTCTTGATGGTGAATAGATAGTTCTTCCTGAGGGTCCTCACTAAGAAGGGGCGCTGGTGCACCTTCTGGATGAGTTTGGAGCAGCTGGTCATCCAGACCAGATCCTCAGAGATGTGGACTCCAAGGAACTTAAAGCTGTCCACATGCCCCACCACCGTCCCCTTGATGTGGATGGGTGTATGTGGGTCAGCGTTCCTCCTGAAGTCCATAATGAGCTCCTTAGTCTTTTCGGTATTCAGCTGCAGGTTGTTTGTGTCACACCATTCAGGCAGACGGTCCACCCCCTCCCTGTAGGCGGCCTAATCATTGTCTCTAATGAGGCCAGTCACCATGGTGTCATCTGCAAAGTTGATGATAACACTGAAACCATGGACAGGTCTGCATTGGTGGGTGAGGAGGGAGTAGAGGAAGGGACTCATCATGTAGCCTTGTGGCACTCCAGTGTTTATGGTGATGGTGGATGAGAAGTGGTTGTACAGTCGGACATGTTGGGGCCGGCGGGACAGGAAGTTGAGAAACCAATTACACGAGTGCTCTGATGCTGAGGTCTGTGAGTTTGGTAATATGTTTTCATTCTTCCATCTTTCTTTTTTTCTTCATTCCCTCCTTAACCTGTGTGTTCTCCTTTGTTCTGGTTTCATATGGTCCTTGATTAGCCTTTCTGGATTTATGCTTCTATTGCCTCTATTTGCAATTAAATTTTTATTGTTATTAAATATTAATGTTATTTAATAATATTCTAAACTATTCCTTCTCCAGGAGAGGTGTGCTCAATGACTAAATTCTAGCTTTGGCCTCATCAGATAAGGTTATGTATTATTGCAGTATTAAAAGGTGTTGTCCAGTCTGCTCCAGCAACCTTAAATCTAGCTTCAAGAATTCTGGGCCATGAGTGGCTATGGAAAATATGTTTAAGATTTAATACTTTTTTTTTTTCTTGGAAAAACCATCCAACCATTCCCAGGTCTTTTGTACGCGGTTTATGCGTGACCCTTAGCCCTTGGTGCCTCTGGTATTATGAGGAGCCACTGATCATTGGTACTTTATAGTGATATAGTGATATAGTTTTTTCCTTTGGGATTAATAAATTATTTTTTACTTGAATGCTACTTATTTTTCATTCAACTTGGCTGTGGCTCCAATGTTAATGGTACCTGAATCATTCAAAACTTTAAAAACGTAGCCACAGCCTTTAATATGTTCTGCAAAAGTTACCCCTCATTTTCATCCCCAAATTGGGTGCATCTCTATGACCATAATTTAATTGGCTAAAAATTGTGGCAGTCATGTAAATGTTAGTGTTCGTTGGTTAAATCTGGGTGGACGTGTTTGTCTAAATTTTTACACATGCTTGACGTTCATTGCCCTACCTCGTTGTAAATGAGTAAACAAGATGGTAATCAAAAGCTAATATCTTTTCCTACATTTAGACATCATGGCCCTGTCCAGTGGATATTGATGCTGTGATTACAAATAGAAATAAAAAAATATATTTTTTTTTTCCAAGATTGAAAGTTATATTGAAGTTTTGTTGTGTTTATGCCTGACACGGTGGGGTGGAGGTTTGACAGGACCCAAAGGGCTCTATGCACAGCTCCACTACTTCCTGAATTTAAGGCAGCTCCTTTGTT